ACTAAGATTTTTTTGTTCATGTTTGACTCCTTTTGGCTCGAAATAATTAAATTATATATATATATATATAATTGATTAGTAGTATTTTAAAAAAAGTTAATTGACTAAAAGTCTACAAAATTTGTAATCAATTAAAATTTTTAAATAAAAAATAGAATAAAAATAAATTAACTTATATTAAATTGATGTTTTTATTTAAATAATAAGATTTAATTCTCATCCCAACCTTTAACATTTTCCGGCTGCATGACTAGAGTTGTCAAAACGGTTATTTGTTCGCGAACAGCTCATGTTCAGCTAGCTAAGCAAACGAGCTGAACACGAACATCTTTTTTGTGTTCAAGTTATGCAAAAACTGAACACTAACAGTGGTATTTTTTAACGAGCCAAACACGAGCCGAGCCTAGGCTTCCTCGTGTTCGGCTTGTTTACACCCCCACATACGTTTAATTCCTAGTGTTTCTTTTAGTTCAAACTCGCATCCAAAGCCCTCACAGTTCTCTCCCATCCCACTATACAGAAAAAAAAAATTATATTATATATATATATAGTGCAAAAAAATAAGAAAAGAAAATATTTGTATTTTTGTTTTGCTTCGTCATCAATCACCAACCCAGACGTTTAATCATCCTTGACACCATGGATTCCAGATGAAAATGTATAAAATTGGTGTGAGAGGGTAATTTTCTAAATATTCATATGAGAAAGCTTGACTGCCTATTCATGGGGAATTGAGTGCCGTTCAGCAAAATTGCAGGCTCATCTGGAAATTTTATAAAGACTTGTGGATTCAAATTTTAAGTACATGTCCTAAGAAACATGAGTAGCTATACTTATTCGAGGAAATTTGTGCTTGTGATTGTCCATTTTGTACTTACATTGAAAGCCTATGACGCCTTTTAATATTGTGGGTTGGAATACACATTTTTGCTTCCCACCCAGTGTCTCATTGCACTAATCAGCAAATCCTATAAGATAGTTGGGCAGATAAGCGTTCTCTCAGTGCCCTTAAAACAAAGTTAAACTCCAGTAGGCTGCCAAAAGTTTGTGTGAATTTAGACTTACAAATGATTTCAAAATCTAAACTATTTGGAGTTATTAAGGTAACTGAAATGTGTGTCAATTAAATTTACAAAAAATGATTAAATTTTGTATTTTTTAATTCACAAAAAATATTTAAAAATTGGGCTTTTCATACTTAGGATCATAAAGTTTACATTAAATTCATCTTCAAATGCTAAAAATGAAAACCTAATAAGTCAATTCCACCACCAAATTGGCAATACATCTTCTAGCAAACTGAATGCAATATTTTAAAAATCTTAAAGTAAGCATATGCATGTATTAATGTATTCATTTAAATAAGCCAAATTCATATAACTTCAAGTCTTATATGTTTTGGTTTTTAAAGCAATTCTCGATTCATTTCACGCTTTAAATTGTTATAAATTGTTTTAACTCATACAATGCTATTTAAAATAATCAAATATATGAAATTAAAAACCCGCATGTGCTCCGTCAAATTAACCAAGTCTCTAAACTCAAACGGTATGAATGATGCGCAGATCAAAGTTAAACTTACACTAAAATAGTTTTTTCTCTGATAAGCGTGTAAAATCTTTTTAAGAAAATTTATGGTTACTATAAAATTAAGACCCCTCATATTTTTAAAAAAAACTCAGATTCAAGATAATCAAACCATGTATGATTTCAATTAGATTGCCTTGTCTATAAAGCATGATAATAAGTCCCACTCAACTAGTATGATTCTCCCCCCTTAAATTCAACAAATGTCCAAATAATATATATAATAATTTACAAATCCAAATCACCTAATCTGATCCTCCTCTTCATAAGGAATGAAGTTTCCAAGGCTAACATTTTATAGATCTTCAAGTGTCAAATTTTCAAATAAATTTCAAACATAAATGTTTGAAATGCCGAAATCTATGATGATGACCACGTTGATTGAATATTTCAAATGAAGGTGTCCACTTTCAAAATCAAGAAATATCTGAATAAATCCAACTATTATTGTTCCTAAACTCAATCTTGTGTAAGCGGGAAAGATTTGATAAGATTTATATATAATTATATATCAAACTTAAGTCTGATCATTTACAAGTAAGATGTAAAGTTAAAATTATCTAAATCAAGCAACCAAATCTTCGATACTGGTCAGGTAGATAGAAGACTTTAATCGGAGGGGTATACTTTCAAAATTTAGTTTCAAAGTCTATTTGAATACGTTCAATATATATACCTGACTCTCTGTACACGAGACATAATTGATAAGGTTAATGCTTAATCATATTTCAATGTTAAACTCGATCATTTATAAGCAAGATGTAAAGTCAACAAGATTCAAATCAAGTAATCAAATCTCTGATGATGTCGTGTTGATTAACAATCTCAATAGGATGTTATCAACTTTTAAATCAATTTCTCAATCAAATTATCAAAATTACAAATTAAGACATTGAAATTAAAATCAATCACCTAAAAAGCTAAAGCAAATAAATCAAAACATTCAAGCTAAAATTAATCACAAAAAACATAAAGCAAACTCTATCCAGCCTATGACTTCAGCTTACAATGAGCTCAAGTGTATCACTATATTCATACCAAAAGAAATCTTATGCCAGTAAGGATATAGCTTGAGTACTTTGTTTGCATAATTTTGCAGCCAAATAACACCACCAAAAAATTGTGGTTATGACTAGAACTCTCTGACTTGGTAGTTGCCGCCAAATGCATTATTATATTACGATCACGGTCGCAGCTCGTATGTTCCCCAACAATTTTCTACCCTTTGAGTTGTGAATCATGATAATACATTTAATTGACATAAAACATATTAGCTAAAATTGAGTTAAATTTCTTCTCTAAGACAACATCCACCTCAGATAGATAAGGGTCTCTTGGCTGACGCAACAAATAGTTGCTGATAAAAATCATTCAGTTAGGTTGCGTATACTACTTTTTCTAAGTAAAACAATGACCTTAACGACTCGAGACAATATAACCATAAGAATTTGATCGGGTTCGTTACCATTTCCCCTATCACTCGCTTTAAGCACAATGTAATAAATTTTATATTCTAAAACTCTAAGTCAACTGCTATTACATATTAAATATTCAGCGTACAATGACTAGCCTTAAACGAAAGTGTTCTCTCATTATCTGGAGGGGTAATTAACCATTGTGATCTGCGTCTATGGGAAACCTCGAACCCCAGATAAAAAAAAAAAAACTTCTAAGTCAACCGCTATTACATATTAAATATTCAACGTACAATGACTAGCCTTAAACGAAAGTGTTCTCCCATTATCTGGAGGGGTAATTAACCATTGTGATCTGCGTCTATGGGAAACCTCGAACCCCAGATAAAAAAAAAAAAACCTCACAAAAAGAGGGTGAAATTTATGAATAATTTCTTATCTGCAATCCAATCTACTTTTGAAAATTTGATTCTTAAAGTTCTCTCAAACACAACAAATATAAGAGTCCGGAGCATCGAAATTTTAGAGGCCCACATAGGTAGCCCTTTAAAAGCCTTGCATATCATAAGGTGGAAATATGTATCTTCAAATATAAGACTCCCCTTACATCTATATAAGTTGCTTCTTCTTTTCATCTTAGGGTGAAGTGTTATGATTTATCACGTTAGATAAGATAGTTCACCCTCTTATGAGTAGCGTTCATATATAAAATTTTTCATGATCCTTGTCAAAATATGAAACACCCATTTACCACCAATAAAAATGTAATCTTAAATACCTTAAACAATAACTTAAAAATCATCTCTAACCATAAATTATACCTTTCAAACTCAAAATGAAATGACATCTTTTTAATAAAGAGGCATCCATATGATTTAATATCGTGATAAATGCATGTTTAGGTATCCTAAGGTTGTAGTTATTTGGATGTGACACTCCGTACTAAAATAAAGATACCTTATAAGTAACATATCACCATAGCTTAGAAGGCATCATATATACATGTTTTTTCCATTGCTTGCCTATACAAATAGAAAACATGGCTCGGTAATCCTACCAAGAACATATTTGCCAAGTTTACAACTAAACATGTGCACATTTATACGCTAACTTTTTTATAGATAGAGCTATGACACATCCCATTTATCTTATTATAATTTACTTTTTTTAAGCACATTTCAGAACCCAATTCTAACTGGCCTTCTAAAAATATATGATATTTATTGGTACTCAGTTACAGCTCTAGTTAGTAGGGCTGTCAAAAAAGCTCTTTTTTCGCGAACAGTTCGTGTTCGGTTCGTCAATGAGTTCGTGTTCGATTCGTTCGATAAGTAAACGAGACGTCGGTTAGTCAAACGAACCGAACACAAACAGTGATACGTTCGTTCGTGTTCGAATGAGCCGCGTTTACACTCCTAGCTAGAAATGAGTCCAGAGCTCGGTTTGGCAATTGTTTCGCTACATAAATTATGTTCAAAATTGTGTTGTGTTTGAAATTTTTTTTGTGAACAGTGTGTTCGTATTGGACTTGATTTACATATTTTTGTTTGTGTTTGGCTCTAAATTATCTCATTTAAATTAATTAGAAAAATAGATGATGATTTTGAATTCATCATTTCTATGCAATAGGTTATATATTTATATAGCATAAGTTATATATTTAATATAATATATTATTTTTATATATTAATATTAGGGATGTCAAACTGGCTCGTCGTTCGAGAACAGCTCGTGTTCGGCTTGTTCGTTAAGAAACGAACACAAACAGTGACTTCACGAGCAATTCGAACACGCGCTTATTTCAAACGAATCGAGCACGAACATAAGCTCTGTTCGGTTCGTTTACACCCCTATTGTTGACCGGTCCTCTCATAAGCCGCTTATTCATATCACAAGCACATTTGCGGGAACTTAAGTATTTTAGACCTGTGCTTGGTAAAATCTTAGAACAAATGACAGCAAATGCCAACTACCCAAACATTTACTTGAAAAATAAATATAAAATATTATTTGTAATGGGCAGTTTAGATGCAAGAAATATGATAGGATAGGGAATAGAAGGGTGTTTTCAATAACATTAAAATTCAAGAAAATGGCTACAAAACCTTTTATAAGGCCACCATCCACAGCCACAGATTTACCTGAAGCTCATTACTACAGGTGAAATCTTTACTCCACCTAAAATAAAGCCCTGCCGTAAAAAAGTACAGCAGCTACAACTGGCTCAGGTTGAAAAACTTCAGTAACTCTTGGTTAGCAATTAAGCAGGCCCTAGGTGTTAGCCCAAAATTGCCAAGGTAATAAATAGAAATGGCTGAAGAAACCCATAAGAAGAATAATCATATGGCTTAGAAACCATTGTCACTCAAAATTGGGGATTTTACCGAACCATTCTGCAGAATATCTTCTTTGGCTTCGGACAAGAAGCCATTTTCAAAGAATGCTGAGTGCAGTGCTACAACACATTGCTTTGCTTCACTATCGTTAACAACCAAGGAGATATTAACCTGTATAAAAACCAAAATGTTTATGTTCGACGTCAGCATCAGTTCAGTCAAAACAAGTATGGTAATAGAAGCTACGGTTCACCTTGGATGCCCCTTGAGAGATCATCTGGACATTGACCCCATTCATGCGAAGAACGTTGAAAACCTGAGATTTAATGATATTTTTTTATGTTAGAACAAAATTAGATAGAAAAATGAAAGCAAGCGCCACACTAAAGAGAAATTTGAACCTTTTCAAGAATTAGAGAAGATCTCTGCACGTTCCCTATTAGTGATATTATGGACCTGTGCTGAAGAAGATGAACGACGGCGATCTTCTCTAGCTCTTCCACAACATGATCCAATTCCTGTCCATATGATCATCAGCTATGGGTGGATGATAATGGACATAGAATGCACAGAATGAAAACTTTCTTGCTTAATAACATTATTTAAAATAGAAAGTCAGTATTATGGAATTTTTTTAAAAAAAGGCAAAAATATGATACTGAGATGTGATGGATGTTAAAAAGAAACTTTAAGGATATTCTAATACATTCCACATCAGGATGGAGCCATTTTTAAGATGTTCCCTTAATTTCACTTGCCATGAGTTATCCTTCAATATAATTAAATTATTACATAAAACAATCAGATTATAAGACAAATACATCTGAACTATCATCACACAACAGAGTTAAACTATTAGACATTCACAAATATAAAAAGTATTGTGCATGGCTAATATTTTAGCCATATTTTCTAATATATTCATTTGTCAGTCAAATTGCTTAATTATATTATCCAAAAGTTTAATTTTACTGAGAGATAATGCGTGGTGTATGGAACAATGGCAATTATTGAAAAAAATTAGTCAATCTCTAATACATTTTTTTTTTCTTCCGTTGCTTCAACTTCTTAATGTTTGATAAACTGCTTTATAAGATGAAAAGACACGCCCATGCATCCTTAGAGATGAGCATGACACCCTGCACAGACCTAAAATTCAGTATTTCCCTGATTTCTCAATTCTATTTAGAACTCAAAGAAAATAAAGAAGCAAACACAAATTAAGAATTGACTGTTAAAAAGACCAGATGATATATAAAGTTCATTTCTTAGACATGCCTGCTGAATTAATTCTCTGCTCCACAGTTTTGATGGATCTAGGGTCAAAGAAACACTAACTTCGCTTGTGGCCACACTATCAACGGAAATACCAAGGTCTTCAAATATAGAAAACACCTGTATTTGTTAAGCATATGAAAGCTTGAGATTGTCATTTTTCTAAAACAAATGGGGATAATGGATAGATTAAAATGAAAATTCATATTACCTTTGCTAAGAAACCATACTGCCCTAGCATTCGAGTGCTAACTATATCCAACATGGTGATGTTTGATTTCAAGACTATGCTTGTTAGAACAGCCTAAAAGGAAGAAAATTGGTGTATAAACTCTAATCTCTAAAAAACAATTTCAATTAATGAAAATTTTAAACAAACCTCACTCATATCTCTTTCTTTAGTAATGACGGTGCCAGGAGCTTTAGGGTTGTATGAATTCTTGACTCTAACTGGAATATCACTTTCTCTGGCGGGTCTCATAGATTGGGGATGGAGAACCTACATTGATGAGCAAAATGCTGAAAGGATCCTATTCATGCCTGATGAAATTTGAGTTCTAAACACTATATTTCACCTGTGGATGTTGACTTGGGGTCTTTTACCATATTCGTAAATGTGACATAAAAAACATCACAAAAGCCTGATGACTTGGGTAAAAATATAGCATACCTGTGCACCGAAGTATGCAAGCTCAGCTGCCTCCTCAAAGGTTAAAAATGGTACAGGTCTTGCATTTGGGTATATATTTGGATCACAAGTAAGAACACCGTCAACATCTTTCCAAACCTGTCATGCATGATAAACCACATCATGTCAAGCAGAGTTTGTTTGCAAAACATTCACAATTTTCAATACAAACTACATTTCATATTTGCAAAACAAGAACAATTAAAAGTTGAATTAATTAGCAAAGCTTCTCTAAGGGTATTAAGTACATGATAAATGAAATAAAAAAGGTAATTCAAAATTCACCTGAATCTCTCGCAAGCCTAGGGCTTTACCAATTGTTGTGGCAGTCAAATCACTACCACCCCTTCCTAAGGTGGTAACAGCACAGGATTTCCAACCCTGGAATTTCCAAGTTGTAATGATGGTGCAACTACCAAGCATAGAAGGATAAGCAAGCCAGCTGAAATTTAAAAAGAAGGGAAGCAAACCTTTCCAAGAAATCCAGTGACAATTGGAATTGCAGGATCATTAATCCAATCACCATGGAGTCTCTTTGCTATAGCGGGAAAAGTTGCTTCAAGGATGTCAGCATTTGTGAAGTCGTCTGTGGTTATGAAACCAATATCAAAAGCATCATACTGCAAAAGAAAAAAAAATGCAGTTTTTGGAGTTAGACATATTTAACATGTTTAGGGGATAAGAAAATAAACCAAAAAGTGAATATGAAAAAAAAGACGTAAAAGTTTTATTATCAAAAGTTAGTAGTCACCATCCTTCCTGATGCCTAAGTTACCAAGCACTGGCCCGGCACATCTTATGTGAAGTGACACTTAAAAATAGCCATTTCATTTAACAGACATGCTTCAATAATTGAGGAATATTTTATGAGTATTAAATGAATTACCACATTAAGATATTTCAGATAAAATAAAAAATAAATAAATAATTGGTTGTATTCAAAATTTCCTAACCTCTCAAAACAAAAAATACTCATATGAAATGTCCGAAAAAATGCTTAAAATATAAATTTGTAACCTACATAAGTACCTAATAGATATTATTCATGCTCTTTTTTAAGTCACTACATTTGTACTCTTCCATCTCTTCTATTGCATGCTCAAGCTCACCCTTTTCATACTTGAGATATAAAACAAAATATGTTAGTCTTTGCACGTATACTGAATCCAACTTCCATCCTAATTCAAAATGTTTCTTCCCAATCTTGTGATGAAATTTTGACATCCCTCCTTTAAGATGTAAACAACTTGAGTCAAGCTCGAGTCACACCGAACTCAAGCAAAGATCATCAATCAAAAATAAAACTTGAACCTGAACTTGAGCTCAAGCTTCGCTCGTTTATTTATCCTAAGATCAAGCTCAACTTGAGATAAAGTAACAATGAGAAATTGGTAGAGAAGGTTCAAAAGACAAAAGATCTCGCCAGAGAGGGCATAAATAAGACCAATAGGTTGAATTTGGAGAAGAAGAGGAAGTCAAAACAAAAGCTCGATAGTTAAGGCATCAACTAGACTAGCATCGTTTGAAGAAGAGGAGTTCGAGAGACCCGTGGCAACAAAGAAATCATGATTAACCTAAAGTGACGAAAAAGGATAATTAGGTTTAAATAGTTACCCTTACTGATCTAGCTCAAGCTTAAAATCAAGCACACAACTCAATTAACTCGACAAGTGAGCTTGTTATCAAATCAAGTACAAGATGGCTCATGAGCCAACTCAACTCACAACACCATGACAAATTATTATCATTTTCATATTATGATGATGCATCATGTTTTATCATACAGCTTGATAGTACTTACAACTTAAATAACATGAGCAAGAGATCAATTAAACATTTTTGTTACTTCTTTATCTTCGATTTTGTCACTAATATGCATACGTAAACCTAACGCGCATTTATGTATGTACACTACGTACATCCATTTATTATCCATATATCAAACTTTTTTCAAGCCACTCTTGCATGTATTGCCTTGTAAGTTGGAAATAATATAAAAGATGGGAGGTCGGTGTCAATGAGAACCCAATACTTTCTATTTGAAATGAGGATTGTTGACACCATTCTTTCGTAAAATTATACACAGCCCGCCCTTCTCTGCTAAAATTCTTGTCTTTATGTGTTAATTTTATTGTTTCTGAATTCAAAAACTAAAAGTTCCTATAAAACAAGATTGTTAATGATTGTTCAACGCATCTAATCCTTGTATTTATCAGCCTTTTTTCTTTGATGATCCCTGAAAACATCCACCCACTAAAATGAACATGGTTAGGATACCCAATGTGTTCCTGTACTATTGCTTCCTAAAAAAGGTTAGCGATATAATTATGACATGGCTGCTCATACTGAGAAAATTAATGTAAAGTAACCCAATAAGAACAAAAGTTAGATCCTTGTATCTATGATGAATCTATTAATCATATAAGCATATTTCATTGGCTCGGTGCTATGACAAAATCTTTGTAGTTTATGTACTCCAACAATGCTAGTAAATTATAGAGGCACATAATGTTATAAAGGATATTTGGTGTACATGGATCTACAAAAGAAATTAAGAGTTAGATAAAAATATTCAACCTTTTAAATGCAGCATGTTGCAAAAAGATTCAATCAAATGAGAGCATTAACAATGAAAAAACCACCTCATTGGCATCTATGCTAAAACTTATCGGAATTATTTTATCCATTGTTTTTTGTTTTTCCTATGATATTTAGCATATGGATGCCATGATGGCCATCTTGAGCAAGACGACACCTCTCGTCTTATAAATATTTGATTTTGTTAAAACTTACATTAGTGTGTGATAATATGTTGTCTCATGTCATGGTTATTTAATAAAAGATCAAAGCTGGTGCATAACAAGAATTACTGCCAGTGGGTTAAAAAGAAACTTCTACTTGCTATAGGAAGCTACTATCAGGGTTGGAGTTAATAGTAAAATATGAAATATAGTAACTATTCAAAAGGGCACTAATTTTACAAGAATTGAAGAGGATAGTACTTTTTGCTAAGCAACTGTTCTTCAGGTAGATGTAACTACTTAACTATTTATCCTAATTTCAAGTGACTTAGCACCCTAAAGAATTAGAGTTGCATTGGTTTGGACCCTAGAATGAAACTCCATCAACGATAATCTCATTCAATTAAAGGAAATGGAGTAGATGGATGCTCACTTCAAACTCTGCACTTAGAAGCAATGTTATTTTTCAAGTTCTTTTTCCTTTTTTGTATGCTTATTTCAAAGGATTGATAAAGGGGGAAGGTTGATAATACCTATGGAGCATGAAGCATTATGAAAATTAATTTTTTTACAAAGATTGTATATATTTAAACATTTTTTTTAAATGAGTCTCTTAATTAATTTGGCTAAATGCTTAATCAAAAAATATTAGTATTTCTTGCTCCAATAATTCCAAGATGTTCAACTTCCAACCAAGTGACTTGAGGTACTCGTTTAAGCAATGTCGTGCTAATAATGCCTGCCTGAGAGATCATACAATATTTTGCATCCAAATAGCACAATAGTGGGAAGCTTTTTACATTTGATGTGCTTATTGTTATTATAGATTTGTATTAAATTAAAAAAGTAAGAAGCATGGTTATCACCAAACAAACATTGCGTTACACCATTGAAAAATAGGATATCAATCATGAAATATAATGATTTCAATATTATATGACAGATCACCTTAAATTATGCATAATAGCTGAAAATTTATCCATACAAAATTCTAAAAATTTACCTTATTAATTAAAAAAAATTAGTGCGGCTTCTAATGTCTGTATCAAAGAAATAGCTTAAGAAATTAGTACAAATAACTATTCTTAGAAAAATAATAAAGCAAGATCAGTGGATCTCTCTACAGAGATCCTAAGCCAATCAAAGTTACTATTAAGTTTGTTGAAACATGACCAAGTCAATGAACATAGACAATATAATCAGTAAAAGTACCTGACGATGCACTGCATGGAACTGAATCCATGTGTATTCTAGCCGCATGTGTGTAGATAAACTAAACAGTACATATATTGCTCCGTATTTAACTAGGAACAAAGTTAACATATAATAAAGGCTATGGAGGTTGGTTTAACTCCATCTTAATTTTAAGGTTTCACCCCATAATGGGCGCCACAAAACCAGAAAGTGATTGATTTATGAAAGGCAGATGGTTTTCTAACATGCTGTGCTTGATAAACTGACTGGTACAGAAATGCCAGTGATTTAATATATCTCACACAAACAACGATATCTCATAAAGCTACTCAGGTTCTATTTGGTTGGACTTTTGGCCGACTTTGTAGTAAAAAGAAAAGTAGGTGCCCTTGTTTGGATAAAACTTGCCAGGCTACTATTCAGGAAAATCACTTTAAATAGCTGATTTAAGAGAAAATCTAAGAAGTTCATAAACGGATCTCTTGCAACAGCTTTGCAATATACTTTATGAAAACTAGAGGCCCAACCAAACAAATTATGAGAGGCACAAACATTCTTGATCATGCATTATAGATTCATTGCACACACACATAACGTTGAGAAATAATAGTACATGACCAGCCAGACAAATTCCAAGTCTGATAAGTAACAAGATCCAGTTCAAAATAGTTGTATGCAAAGAGAACAAGATGGAATTACAACCAATATAAATATAAATACAGAGCATATTAATGCAAAAAATTATTATATGCGCAAAATATTTACATTTTTTTTTCAGAAACCAGTATACAGTTCTCTTAAACGATTGAAAATATTTGAAGATGCAATCAATAAGAAACTTACCTGCCTTGCTTTAACACCAATTTGGTTCAGATACTCTGAAAAGATTCTTGTCGACATGCATTCACCAAATGAAACAAGATAATCTCTTGTTCGAGGTGTCAACTCTTTCATCATGGCAATCCCTTTCAGCAGTTGCTCCAATTCATCGAGCAAAGCTGTAGTGTATGAGCAAAAGGTGCAGTACTAGTTATGGAACTAGCAATGGAAGCATGTAAATATGCCCTCCTCAAGACGATGAGAGCATGTTCAAAGACAAAGAACCTAAAACATATAATGAAAGGCATCCCAAAAGTTAAAAAAAAAAAATTAATTATTGATGCATCTTTGCCAATTAGTGCATTCCATGATTGAAGTAAGAAACGAGGGGCCAGGAACAGCCTTATGGATCCATATTTCTTGAAGTAAACTCAAACGCAAAGTATCTGACAAAAAGAGCCTCTCCCAGACTAATGTTGTGATGTAAGACTTTCTGTAAGCTGTACGGTTAAGATTCAAGTAGAATCCTAATACAAAAGATGAAGAGTCTATATGGTTTTCTGCAGTAAGCCATCAACACAGTTTCAGTTCCACCTTATCTGAGGATCAGTTACCCCATATGCCAGTCGTGTTATTACTAGTTCTTCAAAATAAGTAGGCAAGGGTTTTGATGCAGATGATAAAAGCAAAAATTTAAATAGTGTATTTAAGAGAGAGATAGCATAACGCCCAAATTTTAGAAAATCAGATAAAATTTGGCACATTTGAAAAATAACTCAAATTTTACATCTCTAAATTTATTAAAATAATTTTATTAAATTTTACGTTGAAATTTATCAATTCTATATTGTATGTTAATTATGAATGGGATTGAAAAATATGAAATTCAGAAGTTATGTGTTTTGTTAGCTAAATTAATCATTTAATCAATCCTAAATTTATCCTAATCCCGCCTCCCTATTGCTCCCTGCCGACTAGGGGGGAGTTAAAAACTGCGTGCTCCTTCTCCCGAATCTTGCTTCCCTCACGCGATAGAGGCTGCGACCCATGCACTATAACACAGTTGTGAGCTGAACAAAGAAGACGCATGAGCCACTGAGTGCCACGCCTTTTTCCCTCCTGAAATTTCCTTCCCCCCTTTCTCTCTCTCTCTCGATTCCCCCTAGACAGCGGCTCTGTAGAGGAGCTACGACACTTGTTACAGTGCAAGGGCGAGCAGCGGGTCGAGCGGCACACAGGGAGGCCGAAACACGTGATAGGGAGCTTGGAGAACGAAATTAAATGGTAAGAATCCTCTTTCGTCATTTGAGATTTTCATTTCCTTCCCCACAAATCTATATTGACGTTTGCCTCGTTTTCCATGCTTTTCTCATTTCTGATAGTTGTCGGAGGCGCCGAACTGTTGGAAGCGTCGAAGGTGATTTGAAAGCTTCCATGTGAGTTTTAACACGAAATCAACGTGGGTAAAGTGAAGATTAAGGTATTAGAAGAAGCTGGGGAGAAAAATGGCGATTTTAGAAAGACAAATTTATGCTTAAAAAGCACTTTTTAAGGTGTGTTTTAGCATTTAATGCTTTTTTTGGGTTAATGCATGTTTTGAGTCAAATTTTATGAAACCATGTATTGCCTACAAGCCTCAGGTTATTTATACGAAGCAGCGAGCTCGAGACAAGCGTGTGGGCACTCGCCGTAGGGTTATTCCGTCAAGTCAAATGAAATAATCTTGTACTAATTTAAGAAAAATAATCTTATATGGGTTTTATATGATTTCTATTTTGAAACATATGCATTTAGAACTTCCTGCATATTGTAGATGGATACCTGCGATTGAAAGTATAAATTCACGATTACATTTCTTACGATACATATAATGTTATGATCAGGCTATGCTATACATGAATATGCATATGATATAAATTTTCTGCAGATATTCATTTATTATGTTTCATGCTTAAGCATATGATACAAGTAATGTCTGATAAATGCTTGATACAGGAGTGATGATTTAAATGTCATGAGTAATGCTATGGGTAAAGTATTATATGAGTACTTTTACACTATATACCTAAGCATATGATACATGAAAATAGATAAATCGCAGGTATCATACATAAAAATAGATAAATCATATATACCGAACAAGTAACATTATCATGATATGACTTCTTTCAAAATGACATTGTTATGATAGTATACTATGAACATGTTTTTTATTATACTTATGATTTCATGCTTGCAATCTACATGTTACACTATAGTCTTGATTGTTATAATATCTGCTCTCTTTCCAAGTTCTTTCTATCATGCTAATATGTTATTACTTGTGTGTGTAGACAAGTATAGTTTCCTGCGAGCATGCACGTCTTTTTTTCATGTATAAAATGTTATACTAGCTCTGATTATTTCTCTGAGCTCATTATGCTCATCTACGTTGTTGCCTTTCAAGTATGAACAACGAGCAACGGGGCGAGAAACTGTGTGATTTGTACAGTTTTGTTGTATATTTTTGGGAATTGTACATGTGTTTTGGGTACGTAATTATTTATATTGAATTTAACAACTCTGTATAGTTTTTATGTTTTGAGGTTATGATTTTTCATGTTTCTGAATATGAATATGATTGATTTAAGAAATGCAGTGTATCACGTATGTTGTGAAAATTTAGTTAAACTAGTTCTTTACCCACTCAGTCTTGATTTTGCAAGTCAGAACGAGTGTTGAGAGAATTTAATAGGGTCAAATTACCCGCCTCTATCGCACCTCAATCGACCCTTAAAGAGGAGTTAATCGGCGTATGAGAGAGAGAGAGAGAGATTAGAGAAAGTAAAAACAAAAGAAAATTGAGGACAACTAGGAAAAAAATTTTGAAGGGTAGGGTGGTAGGGTTAAAAGAAACTTTGAATTTCATATAATAAATAACAATCATCAAAATCTAACCCAAGATCTTCTAATCTAGAAAGAAGCCATGATTTATTACAATAAAGCCCGTCAATAACTTGAAACCATAAATAAAGCTTGAAATTAAAATAATGCCTAAAGAAATGCTAGTTGGCAACATAATTTGCCCAAAAAAATGTGTTCTTCAAAAAGGAACGAAAGATGTTATGCAGTTAAAAGTAGTATTTATACAGAAGAGTTTGTGAAGATCCAAAAGTGGTAAATAAATGGTTTTGCTAGTTTAATCTCTAATTCCAATGCTATGGGCTCCACCAACTGTTCTAATCCATTCATCCAGAGTACCAAGAAAAAACAACTAGAGCTCCCAAAAAAAAATAAAAAAGAGAGGACAAACCAATAGCAAAACTTAGAAAAAAAAGAATTATAGTATAGAAGAACATAAGGAACTTAAGGGGAGCCCCATGATTCAGAGGGTTATAAGAACTTTTTAGAAGATTCCCAAATTAACTACAAAATTTCCCAACATCTCCAAAAAGCCAAATAAAATGGATCGAACATGTCTAAAGCAGTGAAACTCAAATGTTGCTACAAAAGTGGCTATGAAGTGGATTCAAGCAACAAATCTCAACAAAACCTAACCACAACTCTTAGACAATCAATACTTCAACTAAAAATGCATTTGAGGCACACACGTCAAGACGCACTTGACCATGAGCTCCCAAAAACTACATTGAGGCTTATACCTAAATGGTTCGAGTGAGGCTTATGTCTTTTTTGATTGAGGTATACACCTTGAGGCTTAGTGCCTTGAGGTGTTTGAGGCAGATGGCTCAAAGTATAATGTAGAAAGAATTAAGAAAAAAAAATATTTTGTTATATGATATTGTCATATATCTAATATAATTTATAACAAGTTCGTATTTAATTTTTTTAATTTTAAGATTCAAATAGAGAGAGGGAAGAGAGATGGCTATGTATGTACACTGCCTATAGTTGTAAGCATGGAGTTCTACAAGCAAGGAGCATTGCAAGTGGGGAGGACTACTATTGATAGTGATTTTAAAAATGGTTGAGTAACTGCGCGTATTCCCCAAAACACCGTTCTAAATTCATTTTTCTAAACCTTAGTCAGTAAAAATACTAGCATCGTAAAGAAATCGCTTACATATATCTAGGATTTTTATTAACTTCCTAAATTATAGTAGTAATTTAGGAGTCTACTCATATATTTATTAATATTGTTGATATTTTTAAGAGAAGATGTTAATTATTTTTGCAAGTAGTTATTAGATTCTAAGAGTTGTGTTGATTTTAAATATTATTTCCTATTTTTATATTTGAATTAGATTTTGAAAATTTTTTTTAAGTTATTCCCTATTTTTTCTACATATAGAGATCAATTAGGATCATTGTAAGAAAGTCTAAAAAATAGATGAACAAATTTATATTTCAATTCCTCCATTACTTTTCTTTCTCACCTTCTCTTTGCTTCGGGTCCCAAACATTATTCAAACCTTGGAACTCATAACTTGCTATTTGTTGTCCTCTAAGTCAGAGTACTAGGTCCAACTACATCTCATTCAAGCCTCGACCCCTTTATATAACCATTCACTTGCTTGTTCCTAATTGTTGTCCTCTTCACAAATTGATTACAGTGAATTGCTTAATATTTTGAAGAAAATTTGGAAAAAATAAATAAGTAGCCGTAAAACAAAGTAAGGAGAGAGCATAAAAGATGAGAAACCTATAGAATGCAAACGAAAAGATTTCCCAGCAAAACTCTAGCTTCACATTTATAATGCCATTTCAAATTAACTTAATAATTTAGCAATACTATTTGCTTACCCATTTGTTTAAATCATAGTTGATTGCTTTGAATTCTTTTTTTCAAAGTCTATAAGATTGAGTTAGTGGAATAACTAAAGGAATCTAGAAAGCCTTACGAGATCTAATTTGTTTTCGATAGTTAGTTTATGGTGATCTCTTAACCATTGTTGGTGGTAAAAGTCTCACGGATACCATCTAGGCCACTTGAAAGGCTTTAGAAGTCAATTAAATACATGGAGATTCTAGATCATGTTTGGATGACCTATAAACCTAAAATAAGCACTTAATAAATTGATAGAGCATCTTTGTGCAAAGTCAATAAAAAAGAGTTCTTAATTTTTTAATGTCATTGTACACTATTTCAAGTTGAAAGTTGCACTCATGTTCGATAAGATTAGAAGCGATATAATATATGAAACTCCCAAAAATACCAAGAGCCAATGCAAATTTTCTT